GGCATTTTATTAAGGAAACAGGATGCCCCTCCATTGTGTTTATCCAGAGGACACAACTTGTCCTACAAGATTGAATTCCAACTTTGTCATCTCTGCTCTGAGGGGCCTCTTCAAGATGTTCAGAGACCACTGTGCATGTGAATCTGTTCTAACTGGACTCCAAACCTTGTGGCCAGTACAAGTCCTGGAATAGAGAAGGCATAAAAAAGAAAAAAATTGCCGGGCGTTGGTGGCGCACGCCTTTAATCCCAGCACTCGGGAGGCAGAGGCAGGCGGATCTCTGTGAGTTCGAGGCCAGCCTGGACTACAAAGTGAGTTCCAGGAAAAGGCGCAAAGCTACACAGAGAAACCCTGTCTCCAAAAACAAAAACAAAAACAAAACAAAACAAAAATTTACCTCTAAGACATCTGCCAAGAAAAAAAAATGTTAGGAAAAGTGTTCCAAAATAGCCTATGTGGGGTACTAAGTGCAGTTTACTGACTTCAGCTCAGGCAGCCAATGAAGCAGCCCCATTTTTAACTGAGAGGAGAGCTTAAGGTCTCCACCCAGGGCAGCGAGAGGTTAATGTGCATTACCAGAAAGCTAATGATCTAGTGCATAAATAGGTCATTGTTCTTAAAATATCTGTTCGTAGTGTGATTGAAAAGAACCTGATGTCCTATTAATAAGAATTAGAAGCCTCCTTATGTTAAAAATAAAGAATGTATTTCATGCACTGAATTTAGTATAAGCTAATTGGAATTGTCAGCCAGGAGAACTTTTAAATTAACATTCAAGGACATCGTCTCACCTCACAGGAGTAGGATTAATTTAGATCTTCAGAAGTTATATAAGGAGCTACAAATGGCTGAGGTCATTTACATGGTGTGTGCTGTGCAGTGTGTGTGCACTGATGTTTGTGTTGAGCTCCTTGGCTAGCCTGCTTCACACCCAGCCCATCACCTTCTTTATGGACATGATGCTCTTACTCTTTGCTCCAAACCCAGCATACTGTCAGCTCCTCAACGCCCCCTTAGCATCTACTATTCTGTGTGTCGGAAATTCTGCTTGTACCCCACCTCCATGCCTTACCCCTTCATGGTTACTGTCGATTGCCATCTTGACAAGAGACAAGCCTTTGGGCACACCTGCAAGGGATGGCGTAGATCAGGTTAGCCTCTGAGCATGCCTTATCTTGATTTTGTTAAATTAATTGAATTGAGAAGACACACCCTAAAAGTGGGCAGCAACATTCCGTTGAGTCCTCGAGTCCTTGCTTAGTCGCTGTTCTATTGCTGGGAAGAG